AAAGACTTGTGGAACTGTTTTTCAAACAATTACTGGTAGATTTTGATAGTAAAAAACAAGAAAAACTCAACGTAAGTAAGACAAGGTGAAAGAATGTAAACAGCCATGTGTTCGATTAATTTGAATACAATGGAATGGCTAGAATTATGATTTCAGTAATAAAACACAAATTATTTGACTTAATACAGATAATTGCTGGCAAATCCTACGTAGTTGATAAGAGCTTAGTTTTGTGTTTGGGACTAATTTTGGGGATTCTTTTTCATTTCTCTTATCTCCATACATTCTGTTCTTATTTAATAAATTTTAAAAGGGAGGTTTTTTAGAAGTTAAATCCAACTTTACTTTGCTTAAAAAACACAAGAAAAGGGCCAGGGATATAGCTCAGTGGTCTCCCGCCTGCCTGGCAAGCATAAGGTCCTGAGTTTGATGAGGGGGGGAGTTGTCTGCTGGGGGAGAAGCATGAAAAAAATTATTTTTCCTGGTACTCAGGATTGAATACAGGGCCTTTACATTGAGTTATATCCCTAGTTTTTTTTTTGTTTTTGTTTTATAATTTTGAGACAGGATCTTGCTATGTTGTCCAGGCTGGACCCAAATAGAGTTCTGAAATAGTGGATGGAAGTGTACATGTGCTAGTTCAATTTGACAAGTAAGCGGTAATAGTATTTAATCATAGTAAAAAGTTAATAGTATTTCAATCTACATGTTTATTGTTACTAAGCAAACGTTTTCTTCTTTGATTATTAAACTAAGGCTTATTGTATTTTATAAAATAATTTAATAAATTGAAATCTTTTTTAGCAGTGATACAGGAAGTTCAAAAACATATCAGATAGTTTTTGCTTGTGATATTACCATAATTACAAATAAAACATTACTAATACTGAAAAAATGATTGCTTATTAAGTTTGGGAATATATGTTTACAATTTGACATTGAATTCAAATAAAAATTTAAAGACCTATCCTCCCAGAGAAAAATATCCTTCATTTGACAGTTATACCTTATTCCCATTTTACAGTCTGTGCACTTGTGAACAACTGTTTTCAAGGATGACGCACACAGTAAAATTCGATCAAAAATTTCTGACAAGCACTTTGGGAACTCACTAAGAGTTATAACCGCTTCCGTTGAGTCAGACATTGATGCATTAGTTTCACAAAAACAAGCTCAAATATCCCACTAGGGTTATGTTGCCCTCTTGTACTGTTATAATAAAAATATTAAAAATAAAGAAAGTGTTGTTACTTATATATTAACTATAGTATATATTTTTATGCAGCCCGAGACATTTTCTCTTCGCATAGTATGGCTCACACAAGCTAAGCTGTTGGATACCCACAGTGCAGACAGTTACTTCTGCCTGTAACAGAATCTATGAAAAGATTATCAGTAAAGATTGTCATTGATTATGTAGCTATTTATTTTCCTGATGCCAACTTATTTCATTTACCTAGGTCAAGAGTAAATTATTTCACTGCCTAGTAATGACACCTGACATTATGATCTGCAGTAATTGGTTTTTTAAGCATAGAAGCATAATTTAATAGATATCATATTTCAGTTGTTTCAAATGTAATAAAATTATACTATCCAGTATCTTAAAGTTTATTTCAACTAAAATTTTTAGAAAAATAGTGATAGAAAATATTGGAACCTTTCTTATGAGCTGTCAAGGGGCATTTGTTGGTTTTAAATTATTAATTATGTGTGTGTGTATTCCTTGCTCTTTCCAAAAGGCATTTGAGCTATGTCACAACAAAAGATTGGAATAAAAAACATGGTTACTAAAAAGTCAGATCTGTGGAAAGAAAGAAGGAGCAAACCTGCTAACCATATTTAGTTCATACCTAACTGTTGCTGTGATTGAATATCAGCTTCCTGGAGCACAAGCATTATTTATCAGAAAGAGGAAGTAGTAGTATAAGTTCTTAAGTAGTGACAAACTTTCCTGAATTCTAAAAGAAAAATATTAAATCATTTTAAAAATAGACAAATCTCCAGGCATAATGGTACACACCTGTAATGCTGTTATGAAGCATTTGAGAGGCTGAGACAGGAAGATCGCTATGAGTTTGAGGCCAGTCTGAACTCAAAACCATACCATACCTGTCTCAAAATAAATGGACAAAGCACTTTAAAAAATGTATATTAATCTGCCACACAAGTCCTGCCCTCAGTTGTTCAGAGTCTTTGGAATGGTTAGATAATAAAAGGGATAATTACTTAAATAAATAAGATCCATAGAATCAGAGGATAGAGGAGAGTCATTTAGCTATATCCTACAGGAGGTCACTGGGCAGGAAATCTTTCCCAGAAAGAGTTGTGGTGAACTTTGAAACAAAATAAAACATAATTGGACCAAGAAGGAACTTGGAAGACATAGTTGAAGAGCAAAAGAGAGGTGGTACATCTCAAAGACACAGCAGGTATTGCAAATGAGCCACGAGAGTGGTCTCTTTTAGTCAATATGCATAATTTAATATGATTGAAATTTAGTGAGCAAATGGAAAAAAAGTGGGAGTTGAAGTAGGCAAAGATTATTAAAAAGGAAATAAATTTTTTTTCAGTTTATGTCTATTATTATTTCAGAAAGTGGCTAAGTTATTAAAACATAAGCATTTATTATTTGTCCCTTACTACTCAGTTAAGTAAATTGTTAGGCTCTTCTTTTGGCCTATAGGGGAATAAGAAAAAATTCACTGAGATGCTAAAGTTACCATAAATCAAGACATTTTTGGGAACCTGTGGCTTAGTACATAGTATAAGGCACAAATTTATTGTGTAATGTTTCTGATCAATGTATAAGGATTGAAATATAACTAGAATGGGATTAAGCTTTTTTCATCTAAGTATTGTTTGTATCAGTCTGCTTTTCATAAAAGCAGAAATGTGGAATTTTATATTTTGTGAGTTATATTTTCTAGTCTTTTGATAACTAGTAAAAGGTGGATTCATAAACTTTGAAAACTAAAGGAATGATAGGACTTGAATTCCAGTACAGAAAAATCTGAATAGTATTTGGTCCAGGTTAAAGTTCATCCTATATCCACATAGATAAAAATGAGAAATTTAAAGCCAAAAGTGATACATTGTGTATTCCAGGAATTCTTAACCTGATGAAACTTGGAAATTGTACCTATAAGCATTATTTTTTCTCTCTACTGTTTTTTGTCTGAATTGCAAAAGAATTCTCAACCCTAAAATGGTTAGAAACAGATTCATAGAAATTAATGATTTCATTTTTATATAATGTACTTGTGATCACAGGGTTAAGTTGTCATGTAAGCCAATAATAGAACCCATGTTTTCCTTTAGCTCACATTTTCCACTATTTTGCACAATTCATACTTTTTAGAAATGAAGAATTAGATGTAAAAAGTATTTTGCCAGCAATTTAAAAAGAATGTATGGGTGTGATGAGTTCCCAAGGAAATTAATGAAAAAGTTTTAATTCTATGTTTCAAAAGGTGCATAAAAAGCTGTACAGTGAAATATGTCTTTTCCATGTCCTTCACAAATCCACCTCTTCCCAGAGGTAACCATCATCTGCTTTCATGTCTTAGAATTTAAAAAAAAAAAATTAAGAATACTATTAAAGGGCCGAGGATTTAGCTCAGTGGTTCCGCCATCTGCCTCAAAAGCGCAAGGTCCCAAGTTTGATCCCCGGTACCAAAAAAAAAAAAAATTTAACTATTACAGTAGTGGATAAAATAATGAAAAGTATGCAGATGACTAGAAGATAATTTTGGCTATTTTAAATATAGATTAAATTTACTAAACAGATTTTCATTTTAAGGTTAATAATTGTACTAGGTATTGTCTTGGCTTTTACTATGGCATAACTTAGAGATATATTCTGATAATAATTTTTATAGTGAGTCAATCAGATTATCAATTGGGATAGTTGACTGAAACATATGCGTGGCAATCTGATAGTCTTCTCAAACCCAAATTTGACTCATTAAAAAATGGCCATGGCCATCAGAGGGCCGGGGATTTAGCTCAGTAGTTCCGCTGCCTACCTCCTAAGCGCAAGGTCCTGAGTTAGATCCCCAATATTCCTACCCCCCAAATTACTTAACGAGCTGGGGATTTAGCTCACTGGTTCCGGCGCCTGCCTCGCGAGCGCAAGGTCCCGACTTCGATCCCCGGTACCAAAAAAATAAAAAAGAAAGTAAAAGCTAATTATAAAATAACAGTTAAATTTTGGGCTGGGAATTTAGCTCAGTGGTGCTGCTGCCTGCCCTAGAAGCGCAAGGACCCGAGTTTGATCCCCAGTACCAAAAAAAAACCCCAAAAAACAAAACAAAACAAAATGGCCATAAGGGTATCATTTTATTTTGTTTTGCCATTCTGAGGGTTTTTTTGTTTTCTCTGTGAGAAATCTTGTTGCATTGCTTAGATTGGTTGAACTTCTGAGCCAAAGTGTCCTTCAGCCTTCCAAGGGCTGGCATTACAAGCACATGCCACTGCACCAGCTTAGTTTGTCTTTAGGAGGGTTTTTTATAGAAGATAAAATTACTCTCCTAATACTTTCATTAAGTGACTACAGTGGACCAAGATTTATATTTTTAATTTCTCTTTTAATATTTTAAATTTTGCAATTAAACTGAGTATGTAAAAGGTTACGTGACTTCACCAAGATTCACAGTGTGGGAGTTGGGATCTGACCTAGGTTTATAGATGATCAAATCCACTATTATTATCTAATCCTGAGATGCCTTTCTGTGTAAATATGTTGTGCTCATTTTATCTTAATGTATTTATCAAGTAATGATACTTAGTGGATGGGCAATTTTTGAATTTATGGTTTTATGTGGTTATAACAAAGGTAAATTAATAAACCATTGCTTATTAAAGAATTAAATGTAATATAATTAAGAGTCTCTTTATGCTAAAAACACTATTATTTTTAATGCTATATATTTTACTAAGCAGCTAACTTTCCTAAGTTAATTTTCCTTCAATTTTTTTTGTTGTTGTTGTTTTGATAGGGGAATTCCAGAACGCTTCCACTTTCTGAGAATGTCAGTGCTGTTCAGAAATTAGACTTTTCAGATACAATGGTGCAACAGAAATTGGATGATATCAAGGATCGAATCAAGAGAGAAATAAGGAAAGAACTGAAAATCAAAGAAGGAGCTGAAAATCTAAGGAAAGTCACAACAGATAAAAAAAGTTTGGCTTATGTAGACAACATTTTGAAAAAATCAAATAAGAAGTTAGAAGAATTACATCACAAGCTACAGGAATTGAATGCACATATTGTTGTATCAGATACAGAAGATGTTACAGGTATAGTATTTTACTTGATGTTTATATTGTATACTAAAGCAAGTGTATAATTTTTTTAAATTACAAGTTTTGTGACATAGTTTTTAGCTTTTTTAAAAGTGCAGAAACTACTCTTTTGTTTAAGGCTTTATTCTGTTTAGAAGAGGAATGAGTTGATGGCTGTGAAAAAACGTTTACTTGGAGATGAGTGACTGCTGTATATACTCGTATCCTCTGTCAGTAGGACATTAGAATTATTTTCCAGGATTAATGTTCTGTATTTAGTCAGCCACATGCTTTTACCTGATTCATTCTTGTGATCAGCAGCGCAAGTTTTCCAGATGACTAAAGTTAAAATGAATTCTGTGAACAAGGGATATTTTTATTCTTTGCAGATGTAATTAATCAAACCTATGACCTTTGTTATTGTGCTCTAAGCAACTAAATTAACCACAAAAACTATCATATACACTGTTTAATAAGAATTAAAAACATGAAATTAAAAAATTGTCTCATATGAAGAAAAAATTGAAAAACTTTTGTTCCACAAGGATAGAAAATAAAAGGGAAATACAATCTATGATTCCAGCCTTATTTTTAAATAATAGAATCAACAGATTTGTGTTGGAAATTTTTTAATAGTGCAGAAAGTAAAAAGGGAAAACGACCCTCTCCCTAAAGGTAATATTATTAATATTTTGTTGTTTAGCCTTCCAACAAAATATTTTCCATATTTTGGCCAATATTTTACCCATCACATTCTTTCTGTAACTTTTTCTTCAAAAGTTATGTATGAAACGTTTGTTCTAATAATTTTGTCCTTGCAAAGATGATGTTTTGAGCAAAATATTTAATCTCTATTATCCTCAGTTTCTTCATTTGCAGTAAAAAAGTTGTCTAATGTAAAGTAAAATACCTTTGCACCATAGAAATTTTAGAAGAACCTGGGTGATTAATAAGTAATAAATATAAGTAAAATTAATTAACAATCTTAAGTTGGAGAAAACACTTCTAATATTCAGTGTTCTTGATATAATTTGTTTTCATGTATCACTTTCAGAATCTGAGACTTAGGGGTTTTATTTGGAGGCTCTGTATGTAGATTTCCAACCATGTGAGAATGCTTGAATACTTTAAATGAAAGAAATCATAAGAAACCAACTGTTATGGCTTGTGTTCAGATGTCCCCCCAAAGCCTCATGCAGTCATAGGTGGGGCTTTTTCAGAAGTGGCTGGATCTAGAGTATATGATGCTGAAATTGATTCATGGTGGAATGCTAGAATTAAGGGTGTGAGTGCTGCCTATCCTAAGTAGCCTGGATAAGATATAAGGGATAGAAAGAGCTGTGGTCATCCCTTGTTGTTATGCTACCTTTTGCTTGCCATAAACTGTTTCTCCTCTGTAATGCCTGTCTGCCAGCCCACCCTGCCTTGGAGCCAGCCATTTATGGAACTTCTACAAACTGTGAGCTAAATAAACCTTTCCTCCTGTAACTTTGAGTGTCTAATATTTTGTTTCAGCGACAAGAAAAGTAACTAAGACACCATCCTTCTTATTTTAAAATTGAAATAATTCCAAAGATATGAATTAATTTGCTCAAAATCATCAAGCCAACTAGAGAGCTCTGAATCCTCATATCACATGCTCTTACAAATTCAATAATTACATTATAAATGGGAATATGTATTATAAAAATGCTGTTTTTAGTAGCAATATTATATAGACTCAAAAATAGCCTGTTGTGTTTGGAACTCTGCCGAGCTCTACATATTTCGCCCATTACATCTTTAGGAGAACTCTAAAATAAGAAACAGTACTGGAGCCTTAAACTGTTTATTTAGAGAAAACATTTCTGCCTCACAGAATCCTGATAACTACCTTATGATTCATTGGAATATAGAAGACTTTTAGAAACATAAGTGGCCCATTTGCTTTTTTAAAAATGAATTTTATTAAGGTATAAATTATGTATGATAAATATATAAGTATATAATTTGATTATTTTAGCAGATGTATATAATATGCTGAGGTAACCATCACTACAGACTCTCCAGGATATTTCCATTAATTCAGTGCTTCTCTTGTATCCTTTCCCAGTAAGTCCTGATCCCTGATCATCAAACCCCATCCTTTACCCTCAGAAACCACTGGTCTGCCTTCTTTAACTTTACATTAAATTTGTCTTTCTTGTAGTTTCATACATTAAAAAATTGACCTTTAAGTTCTATCAAATTCCTGGGCTCTCTCAAAACCCAGTGTGGTTGTTACCATGAAACCTTCAGACATTCTGGGCTTGTCTTCTCTGTGCTACTTTATTTGTTGCATTATGTTGCATTGCAATTTCTTTCTATATGTTTATATTACTTACTAAACTGTATGGTCTCTGAGGGCAGAGACATGTTTTCATTTGTCTATTTTCTAGGCATACTATAGAACCTTAGTTTTGAGTATTACAGCTCAAAAAAGAAACAGCAAATCAAAATCTTGTATTTGTGTAATTATTATCAAATCATAATTTTATTAAGGCACTTTAAACATTAACTTAGGGAACAAAGCTGAAAATTAGTTTTAGAGCTGGGTGTGGTGGTGTACACTTGTAATTCCAATACTCAGGACACCAAGGCAGGAGAATTACTGCAAGTTCAAGGACAGCCTTGGCTACATAGTAAGTTTAAGGCCACCATGAACTACATAGTGTTTTTTGTTTCAGAAACAGTGGGCCAGGGATTTAGCTCAGTGACACCATGCCTGCCTCACAAGTGCAAGGTCCTGAGTTCCATCCCTGGTACTGGGGGAAAAAGAAGTTTTAAGATAAAGTAAAAAATTTTCCTTTCTGAGCATTTTTAATTTTTAATACTGACTTCAGATAATCAGAGGGAAACTGTTAGGAAAATGTTACATGTAATACTGCTTTGTATTTTTTTGTTTTGTTTTTGATTTTTGAGATGGCCTTGCTTTGTAGTGCAGGCTAGCCTTGAACTCCCTATATAGCCCCAGTTAGCCTCAAACTTGTTGCAATCCTCCTGCCTCAGCCTCCTGCGTTTTGGAATTATAGGTGTGTGCCACCACACCTGGCTTATAATACAGCTTTCTTTTGTGACTACTTAATACTTTAGTTTGTTTGCAATAAATTTAACAAGTTGGCTGAATTCTAATTGTATTTTTTTAAAGTTGTTTTTGCGTGTGTGAGGCCCCAGCAAGAGGTTTTTCTCTTTGCAAATGGCATAGTCACACAACTTGATAAGTCTCCCTCTTAGTGATTTTACAACATTAATAAAGCAACAACAGTATAGAGGATTAGAATAGTTGAACATTAATTTATATCTGTCTACTATAGATGTACATTGTATGTTATAAGGTAAGCAAAGTATATTTACTTATTAGATCTGGCAAGAAGATTCAAGGGCATCTTTTGCTTTCAGTTCTTTAAAGTAGTAGTGGATTTATAGCAGAGGTGTTTGGTTAATTTCTGTTGTATGGGATACATAAACAGGATGAATGACTATAAATGACAATTTAGGTATATATTGTTTGATGATTACTGTCCAAGAAGATGTTTGTTCTTAATTTCTGCTGAAGCAATTAATATCTATAAAGAATTAGTTTATTATTTGTAAAATAATTATTTTATTATAAAGTCAAGGCCTTATCATTTGAGACTATTACTATAAAATAGATGTATCCACTTATTTTTCAGAGTAGTAGGAGATGAATTATGTCATGTTCTCTTCTTGCCCAGGACACTCTGTGCTTCCTGTTGATCTTCTATATTCTTTTAAAACACTATGATGGGCAAAAACCACATGGACATCTCAGTAAATGTAGAAAAAATATTTGTTAAAATTCAGTTTTCTTGGGGCTGGGGATTTAGCTCAGTGGTTCCACCGCCACCTCATAAGCACAAGGTCTCAAGTTCAATCCCCAGTACCAAAAAAAAAAAAATTCAGCTTTCTTTCATGATAAAAACTCAACAAATTAGATATAAGAGGGATATTCCTCAGCACAATAAAGGATGTTATATGACAAGCCAACAGTTAACATCATACCTAATGGTGAACTCTTGAAGGCTTTTCTTTGAAGATCATGAACAAGACAAAGATTTCAGCTTTGTTCTTCTGTTCGCTATAGTCCTAGCCAGAGCACTTAGCCAAGAAAAAGCAATAAAAGACATCCAAACAAGAGAGGAAGACGTGCCGGGGATTTAGCTCAGTGGTTTCGCTGCTACACAAGCACAAGGACCTGAGTTCAATCCCCGGTACCAAAAAAAAAGGAAGAAGTGAAATTTTTCTGTGAACATTATTTTGTGTATAGAATTCCCTAAAGATTCCACAAAAACTATTAGAACTAATTAAAGAATTGAATAAAGTTGCAGAATATAAAATCAGCATACTAAAATCAGCATACAAAAATCAATGGCATTTACATACATTAATGACAGACTGGAAAAGAAGAAAACATTACCATTTTACAATAGGATCAAAAAATTAAAATACTTAAAAGTCACATTAACTAGGGAGGTGAAAGATCTATTCACAGAAAACTATAAAACATTGATAAGAGAAATTAAAAATGACACGAAAAATGGAATGATGTCCTAAGCTCATGGATTGGAATAGTTAATATTGCTAAAATGTCCATATTACCCTCAAACAGTCTATACATTCAGTGTAGTCCCTATCAAAATCCCCATGTCATTCTTTACAGAAATGAAAAAAATCCTAAATTTGTATGGAAACATCATCTTGAGCAAAAAGAGTAAAACTGGAACATCATACTACTGAATTTCAAATCACAAAGCTGTGTTAATCAAAACTTCATGTATTGATGTAAAGAAGACATATCAACCAATGGAATATGATAGACAGCTCAGAAATCTATACATTTATGGTCAGTTTTTGACAGTAGTGTCTGGGACTCTATTCAGACTGGTCAGTCTCTTCAATAAATAGTGTTGGGAAAACTGGATATCCACATGCACAAAAATCGAAATGGGTCCTATCTCACTCCTCATGCAAGAATC